TGACCTCGTCAGCTCGCTGAAGCAAGAGCTTGAGCGGCTTCGCGTGCACGACCCCCCGATAGCGGAGAGGCTTGCACAAGACGCGGGAATGCCGTTCACGCACCGCGACGACCCTCTCTTGCCTTACGATAGCGCCAGAAGTATGCGCACCTCTCCAATCACGCCTCTTAGTCCCGAGCTCGACGGTGACTACATGCAAGCGCACGGGGGACTTCTCCTTCCTGGCCACGCCAACATGATGGACGTCGACGACGACTCGGAACTCAAGCGCACCGGCTCCCTCTCTTCGTCTGGCCCTGCCAGACGCCAAAAGCCCAAGTCGCAGCCGAAAAGGGTTCGAAAGCGAGAGAACGAAGGACACCAACAGTGTCTGGGATGCGATGCCATCGAGACGCCCGAGTGGCGCAGGGGACCGATGGGCAATCGCACGCTGTGCAACGCATGCGGTCTGCTGTACGCCAAACAGAAGCGCAAGAAAGCAAAAGAGGCGGCGAACGCTACGGGACAAAAGGGTTCCGCGGCAGGCATGGAGGAGACGGAAGAAGAAAAGTTGGCAGCTTTGGAAGAGCTTAGAGCTGCTGTTCTGGCCAAGTCGGCATCCCTGGCTACCGCGTCCCTGCCGTACCTCGCGCAGGCTAGCGCCTACGGTCCGCCGGCCTCGTCGCTCATCGATGCGGGTCACCACCTACAAAGACCGCTACCGCCTCTCCCTCCGAAAGCGGCAAGCACCGCCGAATTGTACTCTAATCCAGTCGCATCGTCGCCTAGCAGATTCTTCCCGATGTCGCACCAGCCGCCGCCGCCGCCGCCGCGATTCTTTGAAGGTCCGCGCAGCGATGTGGCAGACCGGCAGGGAGGAGCAATGCCTCAAATACACGGAGGCAGACCATCCCTACCACCCTTTGGCACCTTTTTCCAGCCTGCAGATCCATCTCGTCTGGATGCGCCTCTTCCGCTCTTGCCCCACGAGAAGAGTGGCGGCCTGAGCGCACCTGCTCTAGGTCCGCATGCTCCTCGTTTCCATCGATCGCACTCTGCCACGACTAGTGCTGAATCGCACAACCATTCGCC